GCAGATGCTCAGAAACCCTCAAAACCATCTACACTACCCAACTGCTGGGCTTGTACAAGTGTAGCAGGTATGAATAGTTGGGGCTTGTTTCTTGGCAACAGTCCTGGATTCAGCAGAGAAGTGACACAGCTGGGCTGAAAGACTGCAAAAAAGTATATTTTTAACCCAGATTATCTTTCTGCTGAAAACAAATTAGAAAAAAAAAAAATCTTTCAACAAATTATTTCCCAAAAATGGGATAGAAATGTCCCCGCAGTCTCCCAGAATAGTAGTTTTGTTTTACAAGTGTCTCCTAATCCTTCTGCAACTGAACATATAGTACTGCAGGTGTAGAGCATTTCAGGCAGTGTTCTGTACCATAATTTCTGTGTTCATTTATCTTATTTCTAGCTGCAGTTTTGTCACATCAAACTGGGCAACAACTAGATGCTTTGAAAATACATTTGCCAGAAGCATAAAGGATTATATTAAACACAGATTTACAATGGCCCTCACACCTTGGTTATCCAATTTTTCAACATGATTTTTCAGCATTCTCCACTGGTTTCTAATGCTGTTGGTCAGTTGCTCTCGCACGGTTTCACAGGAGAGTTCCCACATGTTCTCTTTATTTAATTCCCCAACATCTTCTTCTATATCTGACAGCACCTGTAAAAATAAAAACAAGTATGTTGCAAATCAACCTTCTCATTTATTTTAATACTTTTCTAATAGTTTAATTAACCATGAGGGAAAAAATCCCACATGAGGGACAAGATATCTTCAGTTTTCATGCACAGACACTGGTCTCCCTCAATGTATGTATTTAAGAAGTTCTGGAGGGCACATTTTCCATGTCAATTCTTAGGGGCCGTCATCCTTCGTGGGCAGAATAAAACTCTCTCTCTCACAACTTGAAGTAGTGTTTTAAGCTTCTGAGGAGTTCTGCTAACTTTTCCCAACACACCAATTCAGGAAGTAGGGAGTTCAATATAAAGCATAGGACCCAACTTCAAAAACATAGGGATAATGTTTGTATATCTTATCTATAGATTTCTCATCTAGGAAGAGACAGGATGAGAATTATCCTGTGAAAAAGTAGGTAACTAGCCCTGCCTCTTCCTTTTCATCCACGGCACATCTGTGAGGAGAGAGGCCAAAAAGAAGTGGTAAAGGACAGAACCATTCAATGAAACCGGAACACTGTCCCATCCCATTCCCTTTTTGTCCTGACCCACACAGTACAAATCCTCTATCTTCAGAAGTAAAAAAGGAGGACAGAATACACACCAAAAACAGACAAGCTCCAAACAGGGAAAAAACAGTATGTAGTGACATTTATGCCTTCAAACTTAATTTGTTCTCATCCTGCAAAAGTAAGTTCAGTATTTTACTCCATTCCATAAAGGAACCCTTTCTTATGTGTATAGAGCCTAACACAAGGAGGGCCTAATCCTGCTGAACCTCTGCATGCTATTCTGTTAACAATGAGCATCACTGTTTTTATTAATAGTGTCCCGCTCCCAAGCTTCTTATTCCAGGCCACTAACCTCATGTCACTCAATATAAAGTTGCTTATAAAGTAAGAAGAAGCAATTACGGATGCAAGCATTTGAGACAGAAAAAGTATTCAGAGTTATTTGTTTAAAATCATTAGTTAATCAAAGTTCAATTCAGACAAGCTTCTACTCTATTTGTAGTTTTGCTTTAAAAACAGCCTCCATCCTCAAGTACTTTTCTTCTATTTAAATTTAAATAAGTTCCCCAATAACTTTTAATTATTTTCTCACTGTTCCAAAGCATTAGACAATGACTAAGCAGAGCTTGTCAAAACCTTTCCAACATTTTCCTATTGGAAAGCGCCAGTTCATTGAAAGCAAAATAATTCACTGGGTATACAAGCTTTGATAAACCTTTCTGATGGAATACAGGCAACGTTTGACACTTGCCTGATATAGACAGGTTTCACAGCTAGCTGTGTTTTTAAAATTAGATACAAAGAATCTTCATTTTGGAGGAAGGTCTAACAATCTGGTTTAATCCCATTCAAAATCAAACCAATTTTCAAGCATCAAAACAGCCAGTGAACTACTGTTCTCATACTCTGACTAGAACTCCTCACTATGAATGATTCCATTCTCAGACGCTGACAAAGCTGTCAAAATGACCATTTTTTTCATTAGTAAGTCTGCTTAAAATTACTAGTTACTTTGCATACCTTATATACACACACACATTCACAATAAGGCTAAACAATTTCTTTAAAAACATTATTTCTGTTCATATAAGTAAGAGAAAGTAATATTTAGCAATTTCTGCCTAAACATCAGAACTAAATACAGGTCTGCTTTTGAGACGAATTCTTGTAAGCACATAATGCTTTAAGTGGAGTAGATTTTTAAGTGTCTTCAGAAGTAAAAGTTGCTTTGATATCCACACTGGAAAAAACAACCATACATCTTCTACTCGGTACTTGTTCTGTGCTGGTTAGTCATGTTACAGTGTAGGAGTGGTTTAATGGGGGTTAATTTTGGATTTCCTCACCCCATGTCAAATTGTAAAAAAACCATATATCAGAAAAAATAAGCAAATAATTGGAGAAGTTTGAGCTAGTCACTGAAGAACATAACATTTCAAAGCATACAGACCTATTACTCCCCTCTATTTGCCTTGGTACATATATGTTCATACAAGCCTACTCCTACAACACAATTTGCCCATCTGGACTCTTGAGCTTGTGCTGACCCTTACTGACCATCCTGGAGTGCAGCCAAAGATGGAGGTCCACTCATACAATTCATTTGTAGAACTGGTGACATAGCATATAACATATATACACCAAAAAGCTATTCAGGCAGAGGATAAACTCAACAATACTAGTACATTCAACCTAAAAATTAACTTATTTTTAAAATAAGGAGTGAAACAGTTAGCATTACTAATAATAGTACTAAACACATAGGAGGCCCATTTAGCCTGCCACAGGATACAACTAAATCTCTATGAAGTTAAGGGGAGTGTACTCATATCCTGTTGTCAGAGCAGTGGGTGTTAGCAAATGAATCAATTACATACAGCCCAATTCCTTAAACTGCATCATGTTCTCTTAATTACACTCACCAGCAAGCTGTTAGACATCCCATCAATCCATGTTTCAATTCTAAATTAGATTTTTTTTAAAATTCCCATAGGCTTATCCACACTTTCATGCTCACCCCAGCCAAAACACACTCAAACCTAGACAATGCATGACACAAACTGAAGGGCAGTTTGGGGAAGTTGATATTTATTTACATACTAGCTAAAGCTGACATTGGCGCCCAGGGTGGATGACTGGACACCCTCTGGATTAAAATCCATGGGGAACATGGCACAAGGGACACGATGGTGGGAGTCTGCTACAGACCTCCTACCCAGGATCAAGAGCTTGACCAGGAGTTTGCCAGGGAATTGGCTGAGGCTGCACGCTCCCAGTGCATGGTTGTCATGGGAGACTTCAACTACCCAGACATCTCGTGGGAAGAGCACTCGGCCAAATCCGAGCGGTCATAAAGCTTTCTCGTGCATGGACAAGCTCTGTCTGACACAAGAAGCCTACGGGCTGACGAGAGGTAAAGCACTGCTCGACCTGGTACTGGCAACAGGGGACAACATTATCAGTGACCTAATGATCAAAGGGAAGCTGGGTGACAGTGACCACGAACTGATCACCTTCACCATCTGCCATAAAGCTGACAAGTCAGTCAGCAGTACAGAAGTCCTTGACTTCAGGAAAGCTGATTTTGATAAGCTAAGGAGGCTTGTCAGTGAGGCCCTAAGGGACCACGACCCAAAGGGGAGGGGAGTTCAGGACAAGTGATCGTTCCTCAAGGGAGCGATCCTGGATGTGCAAGGAAAGTCTATTCCGCCTTGGAGGAGAGGCAGCAAAAGGGCACAGCCCCCTTTGCTCTCCAGGGAACTAGAGGACCTCCTGCATCTAAAAAGAAAGACCTATAAAGGATGGAGGACTGGCTCCACCTCCAAGGAGAAATACTCTGACAGGTTACAGGGGTGGGCGGATGAGAATAGGATGGGATTCAACACTGACAAGTGCAAGGTGATGCACCTGGGGAGGAAGAATCAGCACCATACCTACAGGCTGGGGAACTCCCTTCTTGTCAGTGCAG